GCTGTTTCCCCAGGAGGCAGTCGAGGGGCTCCCTGGCCCCGCAAGAACCCAGGAGAGGACCCAGGTATTGCTCCTACACCTTCTAACTCGGGTGTGTGGGGTTGACTCAGGTATTGCTCCTGCACCTTCTAACTCCAGTGTCTGGGGTTGGCGGGAGGTCCAGGAACCTAATTCCCTCACAGTTTACTCACTCCCTGGCTCCTAGCCTTGGGGTCTGGGGCTCAGATATCTCCATGTCCCCAACAACAGATCAATTTGTTGCTTCCCTGTATGAGCTGGCTAGCCAAGGCATCTCCCTAAAGGTAATACTGGGATCCCTCTGCTCCCTAGAAGGGACCCCAGCTGTTGTTTCTCCACTTGCCCCCCTTACCCCAGCCACTGGACTGGAATTCAGGGTCTCCCATCCCCAGAGGAAACGTCCCCACTCCCTTTCCCATGTCCCAGCATGGGACCACTGGCTTGGCAATCTCTCCTGTCAAGGAGGTGGTCCAGGGTGCCCCGGACCACCGAGGAAGGGACTCAGGTATTATTTCTACCTACGTACCACGTCACCAAAGGAGCCCTGGTGGCGTCGTGGCTAAGGTTGGGCTGCTAGCAGTTTCAAGCCACCAGCTGCTCCTCCAGAGAAAGACTGGGCTTTCTACTCCTGTAAAGAGTTACCGTTTGGAAACTCAGCACGGCAGTTCTACGGGTAGTTGTATTTGGCCATGAGTTGGAATTGACTCCGTGGCAGTGAGTTTGTTTTTTTTAACCTCCCCCCACCAAAAAAAACCCCACCCCATTGGTGGTGCAGTGGGCTAAGCACTGAGCTGGCTAACCACAAGATCTGCAGTTCAAACCCACCAGATAAAGCTGCTCCTGTAACAATGGACCGTCTCAGAAACCCAAGAGTGCGTCTCCTCTGTCCTATAGGATTGCTCTGAGTGGGAATCAGCTGCACCCCCTGCCAGAAGGAACCCGCATAGCATACAGGTTAAGCACCCTGCTGTAAGCTTTACCTTGGTGGAATTCAAACACCCCCCACCCCCCTCTCTTCGAGAGAGAAAAGCCCGGCCATTTGCTCCCCTAAAAAATGAGAACTTAGAAAACCCTACACCTGCAGTTGTACTCTTGTCACATGGGGTTCAGCACGAGTCAGAATGAACTGGGCATCCAACAGCACCACCTTCCTGCTCGCCCCACCCCCCTTGACCCCCCCATCAGCCAGAGTTAGATTTCAGGATTTTCCATCCGACTGGAAAAACAGGTATACATCTACTGAGCCTTGTTCTCACCCTTCTGTCACGGGGCCCAGGGGTCTCCCTGCCCCTAGGACGGGTCCCACATATCAGTTGTCATGCATCGCTCAGGATCTTGAAAAGTGCTGACACCCCCTCTCCTGAGCTCAGGATGTTCCCTCCCCATGAGAACCCACCAAGTATGCTACCCCGGGCATATGTACCCCAGCAAGCAAACCTGGGAACCCTTGCCCACCCTCTCCTCACGGGGGCACCCAGGGGCTCCCAGCGCAGTCAGGGGACTGGAGACCTAGGACTTTCTCCTTCACAGTATCCACGCTGCCTACAAGAGGGGTCCAGGATGGCAAGCCGGGCAGAGCCGGGGCCGTGGGCACTGGAGTCCTCAAATGCCACATCCCGTGACTTCCATTCAGGTGCCAGCTCCACAGCCCCTCTTCCCCCCATTCTGGCTGGAGTGGGTGGGGAGGCTTCCTGAGGGTGGAGATAAAGGGAAACATCCATGGGTGTTTTCAGGAAAGGGGTCACCCAAAGAGACCAGCTCTGCCCCAGAGAAGTCCCCAGGTATCCCAGTTTGAGCCCAACTACTCAACTGAAAGGTTGGCAGTGTGAGCTGACCTAGTAGTGCCACGGAAGAAAGGCCTGGCAATCCACTCCCCTATGGCTTGCAGTTCTACTCTTGCACACCTGGGGTCGCCAGAGTCTATGTCGATTCCATTCCCCAGTTTTGGCTTCGGTTTGATTCCCCAGCAATGGCCCCCACTCTCATACCCCACCTTCTCTCTTCCCCACCTGGTAGATCCTGCCTCGCAAGTGGCCAACGCATCGAAGCTCGGCATGCGACGCTCTGTCCTGGTTCGGAACCCAGGCCACAGAGGCCCAAAGCCCGCTTTTGAGGAGCTAGACTCCGACTCCGAGGACCTGGACCCCAACCTCGAAGACCCGGATCCACTTTCTGAAGACCCAGAGCCTGACCCGGAAGACCTCAACACTGTCCCCGAAGACGCAAACGCCAGCTTTGAAGATCGGGACCCCGCCTCGGAGGAGCTGGACCCCCAGCGGCCTGCGGAAGCTCAGCACCCCGACTTGGGGAACCCGGACTCAGAGCCCCAAGATCTTGATCCCATGTCTTCAAGTTTCGACCTCGATCCAGATGTCATTGGCCCCGTCCCCCTGGTTCTCGACCCCAACAGCGACACCCCCGACCTGGACCCCCTCTCCTCCAGCCTCACTGCCACCCCCGAGGTTCTGCCCACCAGCCCCGCCGTGCTCACGGCCCCCGCCAGCCCGCCGCGGCCCTTCTCCTGCCCGGATTGCGGGCGCGCCTTCCGCCGCAGCTCAGGGCTGAGCCAGCACCGCCGCACCCACAGCGGCGAGAAGCCCTACCGCTGCCCGGACTGCGGCAAATCCTTCAGCCACGGCGCCACCCTGGCCCAGCACCGCGGCATCCACACGGGCGCGCGGCCCTACCAGTGCGCAGCCTGCGGCAAGGCCTTCGGCTGGCGCTCCACGCTGCTCAAACACCGCAGCAGCCACAGCGGGGAGAAGCCGCACCACTGCCCGGTGTGCGGCAAGGCTTTCGGCCACGGCTCGCTGTTGGCGCAGCACCTGCGCACGCACGGCGGCCCGCGCCCCCACAAGTGCCCGGTGTGCGCCAAGGGCTTCGGCCAGGGCTCGGCGCTGCTCAAGCACCTGCGCACACACACGGGCGAGCGGCCCTACCCGTGCCCGCAGTGCGGCAAGGCCTTCGGCCAGAGCTCGGCGCTGCTGCAGCACCAGCGCACGCACACGGCTGAGCGGCCCTACCGCTGCCCGCACTGCGGCAAGGCCTTCGGCCAGAGCTCCAACCTGCAGCACCACCTGCGCATCCACACGGGCGAGCGGCCCTACGCTTGCCCGCACTGCTCCAAGGCCTTCGGCCAGAGCTCGGCGCTGCTGCAGCACCTGCACGTCCACTCGGGCGAGCGCCCTTACCGCTGCCAGCTCTGTGGCAAGGCCTTCGGCCAGGCCTCCAGCCTCACCAAGCACAAGCGCGTTCATGAAGGCGCGGCTGCTGCCGCTGCCGCTGCCGCGGTCTCTGGCCTGGGTCTGAGACCTGTGCCCCTGTTGAGACCCAGTCAGGTCCCCCTCCTGGTTCCCGAGGCAACCTCTTTGTTGGCTTCTGACGTCAGCAGCAACGCTGGTCCCAGCCCTGGCCTTAGCCCTGAGCCTGCCACTGCACTGAGTTCTCTGTGCACCCCCAACCCAGAACCTGACCCATCTTCTGACCTGAAACCTGGCCATGACGCTGATCCTGACCTGTCGCCCAGCCCTGAGCCCAAACCCGAGTCCCGCCTTGACCCTAAACCCTCTCCCATCCATGACTCTGGCAGCCCAGCCCTCCCTGCCCGGGAGAGCCCAGAGTGGCCCAGGAAGCAAGGGACACTGCTGGGGCCCGATGGCTGAAGGGTGCGGGCATACAGGGTGCCCGGGGAAGTTGTGTGTCGTGCAGTTAGTAAATGCCTCCCACTGCCTACTGGCTCTGTCGTTCACCTCTTGCTCTTTCTCAGGAGATGGGTGGGTGTGGCCTGGGCTGGCCAGCCCTGGGTGAGCCCAGTGTTGCAGGCTCCTCTCTGGACCCTGAAACGGCATTGGGCGGGCAGGTCCAGCCTGCAGTCACCACTCTGCAATTCCAGGCCTGGCCTCCTGGTCAATGCAGTCTGGGTGACCTGGCAACACCTCTCCTTAGCCTTTCTACACAGCCACAGTGGCTTGCCACTGTCACAGGAGTGACTTCAATGGTGGACTTTCTGGCACGTTCACAGCTTGGTGAGGCCCTAAGCCTATAACCCTTGTCCTTCAAAGACCACTTTCTTGAGACTCCATGGGCCAAAGGAAGTTGTACACAAAAATCCTTTGGGGGGGGGGGTGGTCGAGGGGTTTCTCAGCAGGCAGCAAGATAACCTATGGAGAAAGATACCAAAGAGCCTGGTGGCAGCAGTGGGTTAATCACCAGGCTGCTACCTCACAGGTCAGTGGTTCAAACCCACCAACTGCTCCAAGGGAGATAGATTGGGTATGGTTCATGGTAAGCAGCATGAACCGTGGGGACAGGCTTTCCCAAGAGAGGATGCACACACTGCTAACTTAGAGACCAAGCACTGTTTGCCCAGCCAGGTGCTCAGCTGGTCTCTTCTCCATGAACTGGACAGCTCCCTCCGGAGGGGACTCCTGGGACTGAGTAGCCCGTAGTGGTTGGGCTGTTTCCAGATTAAAATGCAAATCATCTGACCTCCAGACCTTGGCTTCTTAACCATTTGGTCCTGGGCCAGAGTATGCAAAGGCCCTGGGGCCAGGGGAGGTAAACTAGGGAAGGGGTGGGTCAGATCAGACTGAGCAGGGGTTTCATTATCACCGGTGCTATGGGAAGGTTAGTGGATTCTGGTGCGAGGCTGGTCTGGATGGTTTGAGGTCAATTTTGGTTGCTGGGTGGGAGCAGGATGGGGGCAGAGGCAGGAGGGTGACCCACAGAGACCAGGGAGAAAGCTGCTGCTGGGGTCCAGGTGAGGAATCCTGGTGGACCTTGGGCTGGTGACCAAGAGGGGTGGCGATAAGTAGCCGCATTGGGAATGTAACTCCATAGGATGTGCTGATGGTTGGGCAAAGGGAAACGGGAAGTTGAGATGCCCCCCGCCCCATCTGCTGAGGAAGCAGAGATCAGCCCCAAGAAGGGCAGGCTGGGTCAGCCCCCGCCACGGCGGAGGGCAGAGTGGAACACCGAACCAGGAAGTCACGAGGCTGGCACTGCTCGCGGCTCACGACGGAAAGCCAGGGCGGCGGCTGAGCAGGGTCCGGCTCCAAGCCGACCCATCCCCCCGATCGCTGCCCGCGCGGCGGCGCTGGGCCCTTTCGGCCGCTTCCAGCCCTCCGGCCTCCCGCCGAGACCGCGCACGCGTGCAGCTGCGGGAGGGGGCGAGACCAGGTCGGATCACGTGACCCCGCGGGCTCCCTGGTCACGTGTGGCCGTGGTTCGGGTCAGCTGACTCGGGAGGGTTTGAAGCGGCGCCGGGAGGGAGCGAGGCCGTAGGGACAGCGCCGGACTCTGGAACCCAGGCTGTTCCGCCGCGCCCGCCGGTGGCCCGCGCTCCCCGGCCCGGTATGGCAGCGCCTGCGGGGCGGCGCGGCTCAGGTAAGGGCGGGCGCCCAGCGCGCCCCGGGCGCCCGGTCAGTTCCTCTGACGTCGGGGTGGCAGGACAGGCTCCTAGCAGATCGGTCTGCACTCCGGCGGCAGCGGCACCAGCCCCGCCAGCTCCTGGACCCGCGAGGCCAGTGCTCGGCTTGCCTACATCCAGGCAGGCCTCGGGGGAGTGAGTGCCTCTTCAACCAGGCGACGAACCCCCGTTTGAGTTCTCCAAACCTTTGCGATCTCAGCTTGCGCCCAGCTCTCCCTCCATGCCTCCCTGCCGACTCCTGGGGATCGGGCCTGCTGGTGGCCTAGCTGGCCGCGTCCAGAGTGGGCTAGCAGTGATTCGGGCCAGCAAGGCAGGCCCTGCCCTCCACTGGTTTCTTCCCCAGGCGTCTTGTAAACAAGCACCGACACCAGCGTCTACCTGGGCAGGAGCCCTTCAAGACAGGTTCTGACCTTACCCATGATCCCATTGGACCAAGCCCCGAAGAGGAGCAGGGGGTTGGGGGTTGTTAGCGGAAAATTCTGAGCAAGGGCTGTGACCCCAGCACGCCGAAACCTTAGCTTTATCAGGATTGAAGGAAATCAGCAGCGGCTACAATTCTTGGCAGCAGGATGACAAGTTCAGGGATAGCCCAAGCCTTTACTTGCCGTGGCTCAAGCTTAGAGCCTGGTCTCAGGCATAGACTTTTTAATTTTTTTTAATTAATTAATTTATTAATCGTTTTATTAGGGGCTCATACAACTCTTATCACAATCCATCAGTTGTGTAAAGCATATTTGTACATTCCTAGTTTTCAGGAGGAAAAACGGAAGCCTAGAGGTGTCCCAGGGTACCTGGTAGGGAAGTGGCAGCCCTGAGGTTTGGTTCCAGAAACTTGTGTCTTTAAGAAGGAATCCTGGTGGGCCATGTAGTGGCCTATGTATTGGACCGCTAGCCCCATGGTCAGGAGTTTAAAACCACTGGTAACTCCCAGGGGGAAAAGGTGAAGCGTTCTACTCCTATAAGGACTTATAGTCTTGGAGACTCACAGGGCCGGTTCTACCCTGTCTTATAGGGTCACCCTGAGTCAGAATTGACTCGATGGCAGTGAGTTGTTGTGTCCTGAAGAGAAGTCCTGGTAGCACAGTGGGTTAGTTACACATGGGACTGCTAACTGCAAGGTCAACAGTTCGAAACCACTAGTTGCTTCTTGGGAGAATAATGAAGGCTTTCTATTCACATAAAGAGTTATGGTCTTGGAAATCCACAAGAGCAGTTCCACCCTGTCCTATAGAGTTGCTATGAGTCAATTGATTAGATGTCAGAGTGGTGTGTGTGTGTTGCTGTCCTTATGACGGTTCCTGGTGGTGCTATGAGGTGGTTACCCCAAGGCCAGTGGTTCACGCCCACTAGTCCACTCTGAGAGAGGAAGGTGAGGCTGAAAAGATTCAGCCTTGGAAACCCAAGGGAGTTGTTCTACTCTGCCTGATCGGTTGCCTTGGGTTGCAATTGAGTCACTGGCCACGGATTTGGAGCCTTGGTAGGGTGGGGGTTAAGCCTTTGGGCCGCTAACCACAAGGTCAGTGGTTCAGACTTCCTTGGTGCTCCTCCGAGGACAACATGAGGCGGTGCACTCCCATGAAGAGTGACAGTCTTGGAAACCCCAGGGAGCAGGTCTACTCTGCCCTTCAGAGTGGCTCTGAGTTGGAATCAACTGGGAGACAGTGGGTGTGGGATTTTGTGTTGGGTGCCCAGTGTGCTCATACAATAGCAATGTGGAATAGCAGTTGTCTTTATCACTGACCCCCTTCTGCAGGTCTGTGGCTGGGGTTGGGCCAGCCAGACTGGGCAGGCGAACCTTTGGGTGTGGGTCCAGGACACTGCTGGAATGTGACTTGATCTCATTAAGCCCACCTGGAGAGGTCACTGGAAGGGTTCTCCTAATCACCACCAGGAACCCTGATGGCACCTTCTTCCCCATCACCTCCCATCCTCCAAGCTGTGAGCACTGACTGCTTCCCCACCCACCCTGATCACTGCCCCATTCATTCTACAGACCTGGAAGCTGAGGCTCAGTGCCCTGGCCAAACCAGTGAGCAGCAGGGTCAGGGGTCAACTCAGGCCTTTGGAGTTCCGCACCCCAAGTCCTCACCTTTGAGCTGTCCCTGCCCCCGCCACTGCCACCACCAGTGCTGTGGAATCAGCTCACAGTGACCGTGTGTGTGCACGTGCGCACGCACACCTGAGCACACTCCATGTGCATGGACATATGCTGGAACAGCACTGGCCTCCACCAAGTGTTTTCAGTGGCTGTTTTTCCTGGAAGTCAATCGCCAGCCCTTTCTTCCTTGGCACCGTTCGGTGACTTGAGCCCCTAACTCTTTGATTAGCAGTTGAGTACGTTGACGGCCTGCCCCACTCAGGGACTCTTGAGTGCACTGCGTTCACCTCTGACATGCCGCAGAGTTTCTGGCTGTTCCAGGGCCTCTCAGAGTTCTGTGGCCACGTACAGGTGGTGGGTACGGGTGGCATGTGGAGACTGGGAGGAGAGGGTAGAGCCTGTGGGCTGCCAGGGCCTTATCCTGCTGGTCTCCACTTGCCTGTAGAGACTGAGCGGCTCCTGACACCCAGCCCCGGCTATGGGACCCACGCAGGGGCTTCACCGGCCTCCCTGGAGGAGGAGGACCTCCGCCGCCGTCTCAAGTACTTCTTCATGAGCCCCTGTGACAAGTTTCGGGCCAAGGGCCGCAAGCCCTTCAAGCTGATGCTGCAGGTGGTGAAAATCCTGGTGGTGACAGTGCAGGTGAGACTCCCGACAGGCCTGGGGCCCCAGCCAAGTACTGGCTGTGGGCGCTCCTCCCTCATGGAGTGGGAGCCTGGTCCCCCCAAGACTCACAACTGTGTGTGCAGCATCTGCCTGGTGGCTGCCCTCACCCCCATTTTACACAAGAGGCAGCGGAGGCTTAGAGGCTTGTCCGAAGTCACACAGCGATTGAGAGTAGGGATCTGGGATTTGAACCCAGGATGCCTGATGCCATGTACACCGACAAGATCTGATCCAGATAGCAGGTACCCCCCCCACCCCGTGCCAGAACCCATGAACCCCAAGATGAATCGGCGTCAGCCCAAAGGAGCTGCTGTGACTGGGGGCCCATTAAAAAGAAAAGGACAAAAAACAAAGTGGCCATCAAGTGGATTCCAACTCACAGAGACTGCAAGGAGTCCTAGTGGCATTTTGGTTGAGTCAGGCTGCGAACGGCAAGGTCCACGGTTCAAAACCACCAGCCGCTGCTTGGGAGAAAGTAGTGAGGCTTTCTGCTTCCGTAAAGAGTTGGTCTGGGGAGTCCACAGGGGACGTGCTACCCTGTCCTACAGGGTCGCTGTGAGTCAGAACTGACTCGATGGCAGTTAGGCGTGGTCACAAAGACCCCATGTGTGTCAGAGCCAACCTGGGCTCCACGGGGTTCTCAGGGGGTGACTTTTAGGAGGTAGGTTGCCAGGCCTTGCTTCTGTAGCACCACTGGCTAGAGTTGAACCTGCAGCCTTGCAGGTAGCAGCCAGGTGTGTTAGCCGCTGGCACCACCAGGCGTGGTACCTTATCCGCCACGGGCACTGTGTCCATCCCATGCGCATGGGCTTAGCACGTGGATGGTTTGGCTGAACATTGGGTCAGCGCTAAGGAGTTTTGGTAGTGCAGTGGTTAAGCACTGGGCAAACCTACCCAACAGCTCTGCGCAAGATAGGCCTGGCCATCTGCTCCCAGGAAGGCCAGTGGGGCCTCTCTGCTCAGTCACGTGGGTCACCATAGACGACCTGGGCTCGCCCAAACCTAACAACAGCCGCTGTTGTCAGCCGCTGGAGGCCCCTTGGTGCTGCAAGTTAAGGAGATAGACAGTGGGGTGGGGTGGGCCTGGTAACGATGGGGTGGATCTGCACCTTCACGGAATGAAGGGTGAGGGACGGGCCAAGGAGAAGGCAGGTCTTCATTATGTAACAGAACTGCAGTGGGCCCTGTGGGTGGCAGGCTCTCTGGCCTGCCCCGGTGGATGTCCCTAGCGCCCTCTTTCCTCATCCTCCGAACCTGCCCCAAAGGAGGCCCTTCCGGCTTGTGGTTCCCGACCTGGCCATGAACTCCCCCGCCCCGGCCCCTCCTGTCTGCCAGCTTATCCTGTTTGGGCTCAGCAACCAGCTGGCGGTGACATTCCGGGAGGAGAACACCATCGCCTTCCGACACCTCTTCCTTCGGGGCTACTCGGATGGGGCGGACGACACCCTGGCCGCCTACACTCGGAAGCAGCTGTACCAATCCATTTTCCATGCTGTGGATCAGGTGCCAACCAGCCGGCGAGTGAGGGGGTGACAAGAGGTGGGGTCCCGCCTGGTGGGAGAGCAGGGCTGTCAACAGAGCCCTCCCCCATACCCCCGCCCCACCCCCCATCTCTGCCTACAGTACCTGATGCTCCCTGATGTGTCGCTGGGCCGGTACGCGTACGTGTACGGCGGCGGGGGCGGCCCTAGGGCCAACGGCTCGGCCCTGGCCCTCTGCCAGCACTACTACCGTCATGGCCACGTGGACCCTGCCAATGACACCTTCAACATTGACCCAGTGGTCGTCACCGGTGAGTCTGTAAACAAGGTCATGGGTCTTCAAGCACCCAGTGCACGGTTGGTACACTTGAGACACGGCCGCCCAAGTTAGACTCACAGTGGTGAGTGGACCAGGCAGGGCTTAGCTGGCCGGAGTCCAGATGTCCAGCTTGGCAGTTTAGCTCTGCCCGGAGCTCCAACGATGGGCCTCGCACACGCGGGCCTCGGTGCAGCCTGGCCCTTGGGGAGTGCCAGGCATTCTTCCCATTGTTTACACTGTTGGTGGGAACACAGCCAGCCGGATGGACATACACCAGCTCAGCCCTCGCTGCAGTGACCTTCAGTGACATTCTTGGAATCGTGTAGCCGTTCTCCCCCTCGTTGCCCACGTTGTACGGCCACCAGGAACGTGAACTCTCTACCCCTCCTCACATTTCTATCTAATCTTCCCAGTGGTGCTTCTCAGGGGAGCACCAAGCACAAGGCTCGCCTTCTGGTTTTCACTATTAAACTGGGGTACGCAGTGGCTGCTGACAGCCACGGCAGCGGTTCGAAACCGCCAGCCACTCCTTGGTAAAAAGACAAGGCTCTCTACTCCCCAAAAGAGTTCCATTCTGGGAAGCCCACAGGGGCAGTCCCCCCCGCCCGATAGATTGCTGGGAGTCAGAACCGACTTGATGGCAGTGAGTTTGCAGTGTTTGGTTTGCTGGTTTTAAGCTTTAGTGTAAAGAAGACTTTATGGGAAATTTTTGGTTTAAGCCATAGGTCCCCCAATTTGCCTGGCCCACTGCCAATAAGGCCCGAGTGCTCCTAAGAGACAAGGGTGGCGTGACTTCGTCTCACATACCTGGGACGTGTTGTCAGGAGAGACCAGTCCCTGAAGAAGGACATCACGTTTGGTAACGTGGAGGGGCCGTGTGAAAGAGGAAGGCCTTCGATGAGACGGATGGACACTGGGGCTGCATCCATGGGCTCAGGCGTGGGAACCACCGTGAGGAGGGCGCAGGGTTTCATTCTGTCCTGCGTGGGGTCGCTGTGGGTCGGAGCCGACTCAATGGCATCTAAAGACGACAACAATTGCCCTCTTTTCAGAAAAGAAAAATGCTACACTTCGCCCCCCACCCCGGCAATGAAAAACATTTGTTCTATAGCCTTATAATCCCGAATCAAGTGTGGTTATCTGCCCTCCTGGGTCGTGCCAGTGCCCGCAGCAGAGGGCAGTACCACCCACTTTGGGAAACACTGGTTTAAGGCTTAAAGATGATCTCCGGATCATAGTTCTTGGTTTCTCCAGCATCCATGACTCCAAAAAGTCTGGATTCCATGAAAATTTAAAATGTTGTGTGTGTCTTCACCCCCTTGGTTCGGGACTCGTCTATAGGCTCTGATAAAACAGAAAGCACTCCGGAATGGGGGCTGGACACCATCTAGTTCTTCTAGGTTCATGGCAAGACAGGCAGTGTCCTCGGAGATAATTAGCCACTTCCCTAGCTTCCTTCTGTCCTCTCACCAGAAAACCCAAACTCCCTGCCATTGGGTCAGTGCTGACCCACAGTGACCCTATAGTACATAGTAGAACTGCTCTGTGAGTATCTGAAACCATAACTCTTTCCAAGAGTAGAAAGCTCTGTCTTAATCTTGAGGAGCAGCTGGTGGTTTTGAACTGCTGACCTTGCAGCTAGCAGTCCCAGGCATCACCACTATGCGCCCCAGGAATTCTTGACTCTTACCAGGTGTTGTTTTTTTTTTAACATTATGAACTCCCAAAATGTTTGGGACCCATTGAGGGCCAGGCCAGGGGCTTGGTGAGGAAGATAGGCCAGTTGCCGGCTATTATGGGGACAGTAGATCCAACATCAAGGATTCGAGTTCAGTTTGGGGAGGAAGAGAAGCCCTGGTAGCATAGCAGGTGAGGCACTGGGCTGCTAAGGTCAGCAGTTCAAAACCTGCAGCTGCTCTGTGGGAGAAAGATGGGGCTTTCTGCCACCGTAAAGAATTACAGCCTCATAAACTCACAGGGGCAAGCAGTTCTACCCCGTCCTACAGGGTCACTGTGAGTGGATATTGACTCGCTGGGAGTGAGTTTGCTGTTTGGTTTGGGGGGAGAAGGGAGGTGGGTTTTTTGGGGGGAGGGGAGGGACTCTGGGAATGCAGCCCCTGAGGCCCCTCCCTGACTCCCTTTCTCAGACTGCATCCAGGTGGACCCCCCGGTGACCCCCGCTGATGAGCCCACCCTCTCAGATGACCACTTAAGCTTCAGGAACCTCACACTCAAGTTCCACAAGTACTGCCCGGAGGAGGGGGGGTCAGGGGAGGATGCCAGGGGCGGGCGTCAGAAGGATGTCAAGTCAGTCCATAGCGGCCA